TATATATATATATATATATATATATATAGATGTATATGAATATATGTATCATATATTGAATTGCATTTGCACCTTTGCAACGCCCAATAATGGATCCTTCAAATACACAACACCAAATTTACCAAAAAATTAAGTATTTCCTGCTTATGAGTATATTATATAATAACATACATATATAAATAGATGACTATCAATATTATTGACAAGTGCGATTTTGTATCGAAATGTGTCAGTGTATGTCTTCTATTTTTGCCAATCACACAAACTTTTTACCTATAACGAGAGTATTTGGACTTGGTCCCATTCTCTCTCACACGTCAATAAGCTAGTGATAATACGAGTATCATCTATGTTAGTATCTTTGTACATACATATGTGTAATGGCTGACGTCTTCCGTCCATCGATTACTGAAAATGATATTTGATATTAATGGGTAAGTGGCACGACTTATACAGGGTGTGGCATAGTTTAGGTCATTAAACACTACATACTTCTGTCTTACATATTATATGAAAAAAGACATACGCCGAAATCTTGGGAGACCCTCATTTCCTTTCTATGATATGAATGAGTCAGGATATGTTAGGTTACTCTAGTACTCAGTGGTAAGACATTGGTATAACACTATAGCTTGAAAAAATTCAAAATTTTCAAGTTGTAACCTCCCAATGACGGGGTTTATTGAAAGGAAAATTGTCCATCCATACACGTAATCCGGATCCGAAATGGAATTTTAAGAAATTCTGATCACATTTAATTATTTATACCCCTCCAAGTGATCCGTCACTAGCCAGCATAGTAAGAGATGATGCTTAATAAAAAGTTGCTGAGAAGCTTACATTCAGCTAACGCATCAATACTGGTGCGGAGACTTGGATTTATGAATATGACGTCGAAACTTGCCAATAACACTGTTAAACACCGTTTTTGTCCCACGAGCTTTGTGATGATATTTGTTTTTGTTGGGTACATCATTTACATTGATGTTTCACGATATGATTTGAGATCATATTTGTAGAGCAGTAAATTTCCTACAAAACTTTGAGTTTTGCAATTTGTACTTATTTTTTTCATTGTGGTATAAAATTATTTAGATTATGTGCATTAAAATAACCAAACTTCAACTGTTAATATCTTTTAAACGGTTACGTTTACCAAAAAATCGTTGTAGACCTTTTTTGTAGAGCTTTCAATTTCCTACAAAATCTATGAAACGACAGAGTCAAGTAGTAGTTGGAAGCGATATTTGAATTTTGCTATCTAATAATAAGAAAAAAATAGAAAACTGCAAGGCGGAGCACATTCCCGTTACAATTAAGAGCTCATACTTGAAAAGACTTTCTTAGAGGTGTCTAAGAACCTATTTTACAGAAAACCAAGTATAAAAAATAATCCTTTCTTTGATCCTTCCTAATGTATATTTCAGCAATCTGTTGGAAAGGGTATAGTACACCTTGAAAATATAAGCCATAGTTTCCTAGAAAAGAGAAGAACCCTAATTATCATCAGATATCCATGGCGTACTAATCCAACTCTTTGTGAAGACATGCAAGAGAAGTCACCGTAAACCTAGGTATACACTAAAAGCACAAAAGTAGTAGCATTTCCTTAAGATATTGACCCGCATATTATGGAGCACCCTGTTTATTCAGAAAAAAAAGGAAAACGGAAGCCTTCAAACTTATTCATAAATAAGCCGAACATCTCAAAACCGAGACAACGATACAAATCAGTCAAAGGCCTATGCACATACCTAAGAACATACAAGTATACAAATATGCAAAAATACGATTATAGAAGAGTAGGTGGAGCTCTATTTCGCTACTTGTTCCAAGTAATGCAATCAGAATGAACGCACTGGCACTCCACCATGAATCCTTTGCGTTCCGCGCTCATAATTAACTGCACGCAAGCCATATTTATCGTTGTAGCTATGTAAATCATAACGCCAATAAAGCGTTCCCCACACACTACGTCAGTGTGCAAGAGAACTGTGAGTCGCCATATTTTACTACTGTTTTTGTTTTTTCTTTATTTTCATAATTTACGAGGAACTGCCCCTCGTTTAGTGCGCAACAGAAATTTGGGCTACATGACAATAAATATAAGTAGAATGACAAATTTAAACGAATGTTCCACATTACTTGGTATTCCTTTTACGCTGTGGGCTGTATGAAGATTGGTCGGTGAAAAGTTTCTAGCGGAAGGGTCATTAAAAATTTACGAGTTTTAACATGGCTGAAATATAAAAACTTACCAATCACTATTGTCATTCTCCCTTTTCCTGCGTATTTTTCACCTGTTTTTGATTCGCCTATGGTAACGATTTTTTTTCTTTTCTTGCTGAACGGTTTATAACACGGTTCAATTTCACGATAGACCATCCAAAATCGAGCGACTCATTTTTTCCCCCTTGGTCTTTCAAGGGAGAGTGGAAGTGGGGAGTTCTCTGCTTTAAAAGTTGGAGTGCTTTGTCTCATGTTATGCACACATTTAATTCAAAACCATTCTTTAAGAATTTAAAAAATACGACCCATAGTTATAGCTATTATAATGATGTCTCTCTACTCGAGGAAGTAATGCCTAATTAGTATATAACTTTATAGAAATCGAGAAACTAAGGCTCGCTACTAAGAAACCACTCCAACTTTGACCAAAACTTCATAGATGTCATTTAGTTGTCAGAGTAAATGCTCAGACCTTTAAAAGAGATGATTCCACGCTGACAATCATGTCTATTTTCTTAATTAGAAATTTGCTGATACCTGCAGGTGTATGAAATTTAAGTGAAATAGATTGCTGGATATTCACGAGTGTTCAAAACTATTACCAAACGTACTATATAGTGACCTGGAACTTGATTGTGTTATCGAGTGTCCAAGAATATGACGAAACCTATTACAATCCGGAATATGACTTCGGCTCGTGCGATTATGCCTTTGACCGCGTCTATAGAAATCTATATAAATGAAAGTATAAACAAAATATTTCGTATTTTTCACCAAAATAATATTAAACGGCATACATTTTTTCGCTTCTTGGAAATTAAACTATGTAGGCAAATCTGTATTTACTATCGTATAGCAAAACCACTGACATAGCTTTGACACACGTTTCATACCATCCAATGCCCAGAACGGCGCTGACAGGGGGCCTAAATTGTTCACATGCCACAAAAGGGTGGCTTGCTGCATGCAATATGGTTGTTGTTGGTCGCAATGCAAAGCTATTTACTACAATATATGGCAATTGTTGTTGTTGCATACCTATTAGCCGCGTGTGCGCATTGCACACGATGTCCTTTCCGGTTTTTCCAACCCCACAACGAACGCCTGATGGGCTCACTTTATGAGACTAACCATTTGCAACCCTCTACGTTCTTCCATACCTGATTGGGGTTATATGCACTGATATCCATACTTACATACTCGTATAATGTTACTTGTATATATACAAGTATGCAAGTATGACGTTATGGGAGGGAATTCCACATGCGGAAACAATGTAAAAGTTGGCTCAACTTTAATTGCCACTGGTCAAAGTTTTGATGAGTTTTTGTTCGTGACGCTGGCCAATGGTGGCTAACTTTGTTTTGATTGACAACCGCAGGGTGGCCTGACACAAGCAAAAGCCGTTATAACACACACATTTACATATGAAACTATATAAATGGTTTACAAAATGGAGCATTTTAATTTATTTGACGCAAAACTCATTAAAACTTTGGAATTCAACTGTCCAAAGTAATTGATGGCCAAAGAATCGAAATAATTACTGTTGGATTTAGAGTTTTTCAATATGTGCATGTTAGGTCATTGAATCCATCTAACAAATTTATGGATATTAAGTACACCATATATATATATCTAAAGTATATATATCTAAAGGATATCAGGTGATTGGACAGTATTTCAAAAGGCCTATAGATGAAGCAATGCCTAAAAGTCAGTTAAAAAGGAACTTCTGTCCAAATTGCCAAACCGTGAAACTTCTTCAAGAGTTACTCTATCCTACATTACAAAGGGTCTGTAAAACAAAAAATTTACTGGATCTAAAATTCCTTCCTTCGAAAAAGTCAATAAAAGTCTGTTAACTTGCGCTTCTAATTACTGACTACACATTTGATTAAAGAACAATATCAATGGAGTACATATCGAGTTTTCGTAGCCTTATCAACCCTCAAAAGTTGGGTTCAATCAGAGTTTCTGAGCAATACTAAAATATTTCTAATAACGGTCAGCGTTCAACAGGAAAACCAATAGACATTTGAGACGAATAAAACCTGTAAAACCTCAACCAATTTTTGGACAACTCCAATCACACAGCCCTATTGGGAAGAAAATCTTCGGCCAAGTCTGTGTTGTGTTTATGAAGGTTTGTGTATTTATGGAATATGGTCCGAAAGAAATGGTATCGGTTCCAAGTACTTTGGCATCCAACGCCTTATCAAATCATGAATGGAGGTAACGTCTTACCAAATTGTTTCAATTAGACATGTGCTGATGACATACATTATTTTTCGATTTTAATCCAATCCCAGTCCAATCCCAATAATACCAATTTAAATAATGATAAATGGGCTGAAAATGTTGCATAAAATGTTCTGAATATTTCCACAACCGTGTTTAGACACTTAAATTGCGGAGGTTGAAGTAAAATCGCCACTCGGCTTAATTTACACACATATTGGAATGAATTACAGAGAAGAAAAAGAGGGTCATAAAATTCATTAGCTAACCGGAACACTCTAAAATTGTATGTACATATAACGAAAAATAAAATATCTCCGCGGAAATAACAAACATTAAAAGGAGCAACCCTTTGAAAGCTTTTCAAAAACATGATGTAATTAGTCCTGAAATCCTTAGCCTTACAGCGTCAATCAAAGATCTTTTTGGTTTTTTGTTTGTGTTTGAATGCCAGTAATTAAAAAATGCAAAACAAAATTTTAATAAATAATAAACACTTTAACGCTTTACAATTCCAAATTGCATTGCAGTGATCGGTTCCCATACTATAAATCGAACGATGATCGTTGGAAAAACTCAGTACGACATAACCTCTCCATCAATCCACATTTCCGCAAAGGACTCAAAGCACCGCAGGGAGCCGGACACTTATGGACAATCTCAAGTGGAGATTCAGCAGAGAATGTGCTGGCTTGGGAACACGTACGACACGCCCATTACACACGAAATGCGAAAACTAGCTTTAATTTCCCATTTATTTCACAGAAGAAGCAACGACTGGATCTCTTCTTCAAAATGGAGTCGATGAATCGTGAACGCCTGCAGCAGCATCAACAGCAAATGCAGCAACGTCAGAGCTGCACTTCGCCGCATCCAGATTGCCAACAACAACAACGAAAACAGCAGCAACAACAACAACAAGCATGCATCTACGATGAGGCAGAAGTGGCAGCCGCCACAATAGCACGAGAAATGCTGAGCAACAGCAGCGACGAAGGCTGTGCGCAAAATTGCAACAACTCCAACGACAACAACACTCACAGGCTTGAGAGTAATCATTTGGTGCACGAGTTGCCATTCAACGATCTGATGAGCGATGAGGAGCTACGCAAGACAGCCGGTCAAATATTGAACGGTATTCACCGCGAAGTGGAGGTGCAATCGGTGAACTCTATCATCAGTACCTACCACGATGTGCTGCTGGACAATGGTAAGTAGTAGCGCTTGGCTGTAAAAACAGAAAGGGCACTACATTGTTTTCACACTCTATCTTCTTTAACCACCAGAAGATTACCTTAATCCCATACACAAGGATGTCGCCGTGCACGAAAGTGGTCTGCGCAGCACGAACGCCACACATCTGGCGTCCAGCTCATACATACATTCGCACAACACAACGAACTCTCAGTATTATGTCACCGAAATCGATCCACTGGAATTGGGCATACAAATGTCACATCAAGTGGGTGCCGAGGAGGTGCTCTTCAGCGATGAGTTCAATTTGAATTACTTTGGCTATAATGGCGCCAATGATATTGTTGCCTGACCGCCAGCGGTAAACAGAGCTGATGGAGCTTCGGATGCTTCAGCGCCGCTCATCAATGTGACCGCCGTGGCCGGACGTGTAAGTTCGATCGCGGCTTTAGGAGCTGGCACGCACACACAACTGCTGCGACCGAGGTCGATTGAGCAAGCTTACAGTCAACCAAAGCAATAACCGGTGTAGACGTGTATTAGTAATATTAGTAGTATTTAGTATATGTGTATGTCAAAGAGGTCTAACAATCATTTCTAGTCATTAAATGTGGGCGATATTAGTCTATTTGATGGTTACGCCCACAATTAACCAAAGACACATCTAGCAATTTTTTAGAAATTAATCAAGTAGATAAGTATATATTTAGTTGTATTAAAGTCTTTTTAAGTGTATGTGCGTACTTAAGCTCCCAGACGGTAATTCATCTTGATTGGAGCCTATAACATCTTTCGAGCTTCTTCATTAAGAGGCGTTCCTGCTTGATTACATTCTAGAAAAATTAGGTTGCGATGTTTTGTTCATCGGAAATTTTTCGAACGCAATTAAAAAGTCGGTATTACCGATGTTGGAGGGTTAATAGATATGAGACTTTCAGAACAACATGCCACCCATTGTCATACTCGACACTGTTATTGTCAGTGAGTGCACATAGTTGGAAAGCTTGGAAACAGTATAGGGATCTCAGGTCATTTTATCCCTCAGAAAATATTAGAGCAATACAGTTTTAACTGTATTTACTAAAGAACTATAAACATTATGGTTTAGTACGGGTCGCCCGAGGAAAGCTCCTTGTTATTAAGGAGATTTGCTGTAAGCCAGGTTGAGCCGGGTACGCATTAGCTCACATACACGATCAAATTTCTTTTCTAATACATAAAAACTTAAGTCCATAGTCAAGATATAATGAACACTAAATTTAAATTTAAATAAACTCTCAATAAATGAACAAGTTAAAAGTATATATTTTAATGCATTGAAAGTCGGTCATTTCCTATAATAAATGTACTTTGCAGGAAGAATTTCGACGTAATGATTAGAGACTTTATTGGCTGGTAATCATATTCAATGGACGAAACGGACTTCTTCGACGGGATTGTACTACAATATAAGGAAATCGATGTTAGATAAAAGATTTTGAGGAAGATTCTCGACAGAATAATTTTCGGGAATGTATGAATCTGGTAAATGGTGAGTTTAGGTATTGACATTGACGTCTTCAAAGTGTGGATTCACGAAACGGACTTTTTCAACGGGTTTGGACCACAGGTATTTCGATATTAGATGAAGAAGAGTTTGTGGAGTCATGGAAAGATATCAACGCATATTTGGAGAACACTCTTCGGGCAGTTATGTTTCGGCAGATGTTTATATCAAGTGGTAACGACTCAGTGAGCCTGCATTTTAGTTCGGGTTAATACCTGTCCGAATGTGGACATCAGCGTTTCGGACTTTAACTGACGAGAAAGCAGTGAACATTTTCAAGAGTTCAAGGTTAATATAGTGGTTGAAGCACGGGAGTAACAAGAAGTCGGGTTTTAATAATATCGGATGACTATAGCATATAGCTACCATATAAACTAACCAATCAAAATCAAGTGCTTTTATCGAAACTTTGTTTATTTGTGAGCTTCGGTAAAACCGATGTTAACATTTTTTCTTCTTGTGGAAAATTTCTGAGTGGGGCTACTACTAATACCTATCAGGTACTGTACATAACCCCCAAAATAGAAAACAGTTTGAAGTGCGGTGTATGAGCTCATTTATATCTCAAATGTATGTCTTACTACAAATGACTGTAATACAATTATAATTTGATTATACATTGAAGTTGAACAATTAATCTTAAATGCTATATAAAATATTTTCATATGGATATCAAAAAGAAATAAGTGTTCTTATAACTGTAGTGTGCTGCAAGTGCCCAGTGTGACACTGCAACAACTCCCTTAACCGCGCAAATAACCTAGACAAGGAATTAATCGTCACTCTCTTCGAATGTTGGACTGCTCGGCGAATATGCTGGACTGGTTGGGCTATAGCCTTGTGATGGTGCCGTCGGCGAATACATCGGTGATGTGGGCGAGTAATTGCGTGCGGTCGGTGTGTATGTCGGCGATGTTGGTGAATATTTGGTGCTACTCGGTGAGTAGATCGACATGTTGGGCGAATAGCGTGGACTTGTGGCCGAGTAACTGGAGCCAGTGGGACTGTATTGATTGGCCGGTGAATGCTGCGGTGAGCTGGGCGAATAAAGTGGCGATGTTGGTGAATACTTCGGCGAAGCCGGCGAGTACTGTGGCGAACCGGGCGTATATTGTGGTGAACCGGGTGAGCCATCGTACGATGGTGATGGCGGCGAATAAGTTGGTGAAGTGGGTGAATATTTAACACCTGTTTGCGAATATGCCGGTGAAGCGGGCGAATAGTGTGGTGAAGCCGAATAATTGGGTGAGGTTGGTGAATATGATGGTGTAACTGGTGTGTAGTTTGGTGATGACGGTGAATATGAAGGGGACGTTGGCGAATAGCATGGTGAAGTTGGTGAATACGAGGGACTGGAAGGTGAATAAGACGGGGATGTGGGCGAATAACTCGGTGAATTTGGCGAGTAATTCGAAGATGTTGGTGAATAAGCGCTGCCCGGCGAATACATATTTGTGCCACTGCCCGAAAACGATGGACTGGACGATTGATAGTTTGAAGTCGGCGAATAGACTGGCGATGTTGGTGAATAACCGCTGGTCGATGGTGAATAGCCAGTCGATTGTGGTGCGAAATTCGGTGTCGTTGAGTAACGTGGACTTGTGGCCGGATACAATGGGCTTGTCGGCGAATAATTCGGACTGGTTGGTGAGTAATTGGGTGAAGCAGCACCCGGTGATGAAGCAGTATAATTTGGACTTGTCGGCGAATACGATGGCGAAACGCTGGGCGATGGTGGTAAATATGGTGACATCGAGGGGCCAGGTGAACTAGGCGAAGAGCCAGGATGTGCGGGAGACCAACTTGGTGACATGCCCGAAGCATCAGAGGCGGCTGACGGCGAGAAGCTGGGACCGCCAGGTGTCATGCCACTCACTACAAATAAAACGTACAATCAAATGAAAAAAGCAATGTATTAAAATAGTATAGCAAAGGCACTTACTTTGTCCAGATGGCGAGAAATAGCGTGGTGTACCGCATTGTACCCAAGGTGTCATGGGTGGTGTCATGCTCGGCGTAGCACCGGCGCCGAAGAACATTGCCGAACCGCCAATCATGCTCGAGCCCAATGTGCTCGGTATTTCAATGCCGTAGCGACACTTCTCAGCATCGAGCAGCAAATCGAAACAACCTGTAATTAGTAAGTGATTTTTATTTAAAAAAAAATGCATGATTAACTTTTCTTGATTCTCACTTACCTGTGCCCATACGCGGCAATTGGCCCATAATAATGTTTTCGGACACACCTCTCATCGGATCGGTTTCCGCATGCGCGGCGGCATCCATCAACACATCGACCGTTTCTTCGAATGAGCAACGCATAAGTGCACCAGTATCCTGTCGATTGATGCCGTGACGTGTGATGGCCATCAAGTGACCCTTAGCCGTCATTACGTCACACAACAAAGCCAAGTGACGATAGTTCACGTACAAGCCGTAGAACTGCAGCACAGCATTCATTTCCTTCTCCACCGATTTACGCACAGCCTCTATGCCCAATACTTGGAAAATTTCACAAATATCATTCGACGATGTACGCACCGGATCCACATCACGTTCAGAGAGTACTTTCATCATTGAAGTACCGTCAGTTTCCAAAAGCCACTCACCAATGGCCTTAAATTCACCCGTCTCGGTGATGACAATACGCTTCTTACTGTCCGTTTGCGGTAAATGCATGTACACCTTGCCAATGGCTTCGATGCCCTGCAGTGTCATGTCCGAGAGCATATTCGCTTCAATACAACGCAAGAACATATCATCCTCCATTTTATCAACGGCTTCATCTTCATCTTGGAACTTGGTTTCCTCATTGTTCATGATACGTATGCGTAGCACCAATTTGTCAGCGTTGTCATCATTGAAAATACAATTCAAATCGTCACCGAAACCAGCGTTGATCTTCTCAGCAATCTGTTCCATAGTCAATTTCTTATCGGTCATACGTTTGCGATCCAATTCGATACGCAGCAACCAAGGTGAAATGCGCGTCGGATCGAAATCGGGCATCTCATAGTAGACATTCACGAATTCTTGATCCTCCGAGATGACAGTTCGCTGCGGATCGGGATCGTAGTAAATAGCAGTGTTGGCGGTCACCTTACGTAAGGTGGTGTGTTCCAAACGACACAGCACATTCTTAGCTTTCTCGGCATCACGCGCCGCACCGCCAGTAAGGAAAACAGTTAGTGAGGGCGCTTTTGGTTTTTTGGAGATGTTAATAATTTCCTTTAAACGCGGCACACCCAATGTTACGTTCTTCGACGACACACCAGCAAAATGGAAAGTGTTCAGTGTCATCTAAAAGCACATAAAAAAAAAAAAACAAAATACAAAAATTAATGAAGTAAGTAGATAGTTTAGCAATGCACAGCTGTGCTTACCTGTGTGGCGGGTTCACCCAAACTCTGCGCTGCCAAAGCGCCCACCATTTCGCCGGGGTTGGCTTGTGCCTGCTGGAAACGCGTTTCAATCTCACCAATCAACCATTCGAACGCTTCGGCTGAGAGACGAAACTCCTCCGCTACATATTTCGTGCAAAGCGTGGAGCGCACCAAACACTGGAACAGCAGTGTGGCATTCTCATTGGCCTGCTTCGAAAGGTGATCGTTGCCCACCACAATGACACAGCGCTGCAACAAATCGCGTACGCCATTAATTACGCGCAGCGGCGACAAATCTGTGGGCATGCGCTTATTAATATGGAAAATCTTTTGCACATTCCAAATCATGCGCTGCAAATTGCAAGGCAATACAACCTGGCGAATGCAAAACAATATCAGTAAAATGCGTTACCAATATGAAAGCAGAAAATAAAGATACCGTACCTTAGAATCGCCATTGGGGAAAATCTCACGTAACGCTTCACGATCCCGGCACAATTGATCCCATTCGATTTCCAACTCGGGCAGCGCATTGCCACTCTCGCTCAGCTCTTTGATTACATCGTCGGTGAAAACTTTACGCATATAACGTTCGTTGGACCAATCGAATTTGAATCTCTTTTCAAATGCTTTATTTGACAATTTGACAGTTGGTAAATTTTGAAATTCTACCGTTTCACCAGCCAAACCGTCCTCGCCGTAACGTAACTGAATCAGCTGACCCACTGAATTACGCACTGTACCGTCGTAGTTTACCATAACCGACTCCATAGCCTTTATGAGACGACGTTGAATGTAACCAGTTTCTGCAGTCTTGACAGCAGTATCGATAAGACCTTCACGACCACCCATAGCGTGGAAGTAGAACTCGGAAGGTGTTAAGCCGGCAAGATACGAATTCTCCACGAAGCCACGCGACTCAGGACCGTAATCGTCTTTAATGAAATGTGGCAATGTGCGCTTACGGAAACCGTATGGTATACGTTTACCCTCAACGTTCTGTTGGCCCACACAAGCAATAACCTGTGAGATATTAATGTTGGAACCCTTCGAACCCGACACCACCATAGCCTTTAAGTTGTTGTATTCAGTCAAAGATTTCTTAGCAGAACCACCAGTTTTGTCACGAGCATCGTTCAAAATACGATTCACCTGATTCTCGAAAGTCTGACGCAAAGTATTACCTGTAGGTACGAACTGGTAGTTAGAAACGGTATGTAAAACAAATAAAATAAAAATAAATAAAATAAAATAGAATAAAAAAAAATAAAATTAAAATAAAAAAAAATATATAAGAATAATAATAAAAAAAAAACAAAAAAAAATAAAAAAATAACTAAATTAGTTTAAAACAAAATTTTTTTAAATTTCAAAACAAAAAATATAAAAAATTGCAAAAACAAAACAAATATAAAAATTTCAAAAAAAAAAAAAAATATTAATAAAAAAAATTTAATTAAAATAATATTAAATAAAAAAATATTTAAAAAAAAAAATAATTAAAACAATTAAGTAACTACAATTAGTTTAAAAAAAATTAGAAACAAAAATTTTTCAAATTTCAAAACAAAAAATAAAGAAATTGCAAAAAAAAAAATACAAATATAAAAATTTCAAAAAAAATATATAAAAAATTATATTATACTGAAAGTGATGCCCTTTGTCATCAACGCACATGTTCATTTTTGAACACATTTAATCAAATAAAAAAAATATAACAAATAAATAAAAAAATTTAATTAAATAAAAAAAAGTTTAAATAAAAATAAAAAAAATTTAAAAACAAAATTAGATAATAAATAAAAAATCAGCACATACCGGGTGTGGGCTCCAACTCCATGTTGTGTGCTTTTTGAATAACGTTTATGACATCGTCCTTGGCTTTCTTGATGGCCATTTGAATTTCGTTATAGGTCTGAGGATCGGCAATTGTGTCACCAATACCGATGCTGTGACCCTCAAGCAATAGCCAATTATTAATTACAGTCTGAATGTTACCGTAGAAACGACCGGCAATTTCGTGACCCAATTCCAAGAAACAAATATGCAGCAGTGAACCCGCCGATGTACCCAATGTCTTTTTACACAAGATACCCATAATTAATTCACCATGTTCGACCATGACTTTAGTGTCACCGGGTGAGATCCACTTGTAGGGACCATCATCTTCATCATCTGGATGTGTAGAATGTGTGCGTATCATGTTTACATTGCCAGGTATAATCAGTGAAAATAATTGTTTGCCCGTCCACAGAGGACGAGGTTTTAAAATACATGGCTGTGGTACTTTGCCATCCCATGTGGGTAAGAACATAAGCAAATTCATCATTTGCTCACGCGTAATGAATACATCACGTTTTGTCATTTTACGTACAGCTGTTAGAGTATCCTGCACAATACCCATAACGGGTTTGTTAGCCTAAAAAAAAAAAACGTAAAAAATTACACTGCGAAAAAATATAAAAAAGTATGATGGTAGAAACCTGTGGTGTGATAATTTGACGTGGTGTAACGTGTATATTCTCCACCTCAGCACGGGTTTCCATCGATTGCGGCACGTGCAAGTTCATTTCATCGCCATCGAAATCAGCGTTGTAGGGTGAAGTACACGACAAGTTCATACGGAATGTAGACCAAGGCAATACCTTGACACGATGTCCCATCATACTCATTTTATGTAGCGTGGGCTGACGATTGAAAATAACCAGATCGTCATCGCGTAAATGTCTTTCTACTTTGTAACCACATTGCAAATGCAAATCTGATGGTTTTGGGTGAAAACGCAAATCTATACGCTCACCATTGTCACGTACAATATACTTGGCGCCAGGATATTGTGAATTACCACGTCGCACCAATTCCTGCATACGATCAATATTAAAGGGAGTGACTAGCTCTGGAAATGTTAAATTTTGCGCAATGGAACGTGGTACACCGACTTGATCAATACGCAGATTTGGATCGGGTGTGATGACAGTACGTGCCGAGAAATCGACACGCTTACCCATCAAATTACCACGAATACGCCCTTCTTTGCCCTTCAAACGTGCTTTTATGGCTTTGAGTGGTTTGCCAGATTTTTGCATAGCGCGTGGCATACCGGGCATGTCATTATCAACTAGCGTGGCAACGTGGAATTGCAACATTTTTATATTCTCTTGTATGACATGCGCTGCAGCGCCTGTGCCTTCGTTCTTTTTCAATTCATTGTTTGCTTTAATAATATCCGCAAGCTTATGCGTTAAATCGTCCTGATTCTTAGCAGCGCCAAACATAACAACAGCTGGACGCACAGCTAATGGTGGTACAGGCAATACCGTGACAATCATCCAATCGGGTCGTGCATATTTGGGATCCATACCAAGTATGAAACATTCTTCATCAGTAATATGTTTTAAAATTTCCCAAACACGCTCCGCCGTCACTATGATTTTCTTTTCCTATACGTATTGAATAAAATTTATAGTTGTAATAAAATACAATAGTATTCATTCGTTGTTGTTGTTGTTTACCTGTGAATCTTCATTTACATGCTTCCACTCGGCGGTCAACTCTAATCCACTGCGTCTCAATGATGGTTGATAATGACCGCAACCACCGTGACCTTGTTTTTTATTAGGATCCGTTTGTTGTCCATCTTTTGCCATATCCATATCCTCACCACCCTCGCACACAGTCTTACCTTTACACAAATCATATACATATGCCAGACGCTTTCGTGGCTGTCCCTTTGATTTCATAACAATCTCTTTAATTTTTGGATTTTGTGGAGATACTAACATTTTCGAGCAGTAAAAGCACACACAACGCAATATCTTAATCGTCTTTGTAATAAAACCAATATGAAAAACTGGTTTTGCTAAATCGATATGGCCAAAATGTCCCGGACATTCTGTCATATTACCAGCACAGGTTTGGCATCGAGATGTTCTGTCTATTACACCTTGACGTGGATCCATTAGACCGCCCAACTTTGGTCGACCACCTTCCATGGTCTCGGCAAACTGTACGCCTCCTTCTGTAACGGACATGCGACGCTACATCGTCGAGTGATAGTTAGCAATAATTATATCACTTATAATTATAAACTTGTCTTAATACTTACAATTTCATCAGGTGATAAAATACCGAATTGCACACGTTTCACTTGGCGCAATGGCGCCTTTGAATCGTTGGTCGCCATTTTTTAAGTATAATTATTTATGAGTTAAACAAAATGCCTCTTGTTAAAAACACATCAAAATTTAAAAAAAAAATGCTAGCGTTCCGTTGAAATCTGAAGACGTCAGTTGTGCTGCACTCTACACGATGTGTCTTTTCTACGAAAGCTTCGTTCGTTATCGACGTCGCAGTTTCTTTTGGTGAAATTTGCAACTTTTTCAGACACCTTTTAAAGCTGGAATATCCACCTGTGCAATATAAAAAATGATGCGCACAAGTGCAGCAACCACTCAGCTGTAGTTTTTACAAACTTTTGTTTATATTTTTCGAGAATTTATGCTATTTTTAAATAATAAAATTGCCGCACGTTAAAAATAATGATTTTTTCCTTGGCGAAACGAAGCGAGTGTTTCGCGCGGGCCCATGGTCGCTATATTTATATCCGTGAAAACCTTCAGAGTTGCATTTCTTAGTATTTCATTAACAATAGGAGAGATAACAATACAATATTTTAATGATACAAATATTATATTTTTAAAAACAAATATTTAATTAATGGTATTATGACCACGGGAAACTTTGGTGCGCCAAAATATTAAGATTTCGGTTAAGGAAGATGTTAGGAAATTTGTATTCGCATAAGTGACATATAAACCGCATGATAACAACTCTGCTATTTCGCAATGTCCAATGTTCACTGAACTTACCACCCAATAATTGTAAATAAACATAAAAGCAATCTGATAATAATTTTAGAAGGAGATATATTAATTGAACTGTTTTGGGTACTAAAGAGCATTTCTTTTGAAATGTCTGATATTACACCAATTTCCTCCAAACCAGCCATAGTCGAAAAAGACTCCAAATATAAAACGCAAGGTTTGAAACATTTATTTGACTATACGCATATTTAACCTTTATCTTGTCTTATGTCACGGCGTAAAAGCGGCAGCATTTCTTGGACTGGTTGGTGGAGTATCTGCGATATTTGGATTTTCTAAAACACTGGGAAAGGCAAAAGAATCACATAGTAAACTGATAGAGAAAAGTGGACGTGAGGCAGGTATCTTGCTTGAGGAGGGCTCTGTGTTGGCAATGCGTGCATTAGGTTGGGGTACTTTTTACGCATTTCTAGGTACAGGAGTGTTTTGTTATGGTGTTTGGAAACTATCTGGAGCCAGAAATGTAAGCCAAATATCAGATATTGTTAACATTACTTATCAATTTTTATCCACACAGATGGACGAGTTTCGTCTGAAAATGGGTCAAGGATTACCAAGAATAACGAAAGACACGCCACCAACTAGTCGTACGGATTTTGAATCACTGACAGATTTAATGAAATACTTGGGTTCGGGATGTAAGGAATAACTATTACCTTGCGGTCACATGCATAAAAATGGTTGAATAACTTAATATTTAGGAAAATAACTAATAATATCCTAAGAGATTTAGAACATAACAAAAAACTGTAAGTTTAGCCTTTTTGGTAAAATAAACCTTATGTTTGTTTATTTGCTAAATTTTCTTCAATTTTGGTTTCTTTTTTGATAAATGCATTGTGCTCGCATACCTCCATAACATTTCTTAAAACAACTTGAAATTGTGCATAGTCTTTCTCCATAAATATATATGCTTTTTGACGAAACTCGATTGATTCGCGTATGAATCTTTGCAAATCAGGAGCATTCTCCAAGTACGCACGATTTTGTGGCGACAATATAGATGTGTCAATAATCGGATGAGACTTTAGTTTAAACGTCTTTAGTTGTTGAATGGAATCACGCCAGAGTGTACTCCACTCTTTAATCTCCTGTCTCAAACGCTCTTCATAACTATGACAGAATTGGAAATGTTCTTATAAGCCAATAGAATTAATAAGAAACGTGTATATAACATACCTCTTCACTTCGACATCTTCCTGATCGTCACGGTCTAGGAGAACAATTTATTCATTTTGATAGTAAAACGAAAGAACTTATACTTGTGAAGATATGCAACATAGATATATACATACCGTCATTTAATGTTATATTAAATATGCTTTTAGTGGCGTTTGTGGGTTGTGAGGCGTGATTGAGTACAGACTCATCTAGCTCTACAGTAGTTTCTGCTTCAGTATCTGTTAAAATTGGCGCCTGCATATTTTTATTTTGAAGTTTAAAATATATATGTGTATATAATAAGTGAATAATATATAAATTGAAATTGACAAACTATTGTTGCGCCTTTTTCGAATGTTCTTCTTCTTTTTCTTTAGTTCACAATTGAACTTTAAAGCGAGATTAATCTTTGAGTATTGAATATACATTGTTGTAGGTCTTTTAATTAGAAAAAAAAACTGTATAACTTTTTAACGTGAAAAATATTCATAGAGTTTTTATTTGATTTAAGTTTAAGGCTGTAAGTTTAATTCTGAACGAATGATTTTACGTTCAACTGTTCTCAACACAAAGTGTGAACTATTTCGTTTCTCATTTCAAGAAGAAGTTATATGTGCCCTACAAGTATTTACTTGTAAATGAAACACAAAAGCATGGAATTTCGTATTTTAGAACTCTTTAGTGGCATTGGTGGAATGCATTATGCTTTTAATAGTATGTATCTAAATAATGTCATAGTATATATAATATATTATCCTCCTTGTTTTGTCAGCTTCTGGATTGCCTGGAACTATAGTAGCCGCAATAGACATCAACACACATGCCAATGCGGTGTACGCCCACAATTATTCGTCTTCTGTAGTATGCAACAATAATATACAAAGTTTAACCCCTCGGAAAATAGAGAGGATGGACGTAAATATGTTACTTATGTCCCCACCTTGTCAGCCCCACACGAGGGTCGGTAATCGGTTAGATATAGCTGATAACCGGTCTGATGCTTTGCAACATATTTGTGATTTGCTACCACAATGCCACAAAATACAATACATACTAATGGAAAATGTCAAAGGGTTTGAGGTGTCAGAAGCGCATAAGCAATTTATTGAAACTTTAAATACTGCAGGCTACCATTGGAGGGAATTTTTACTAACCCCAACACAATTTGGCGTACCGAATTCTAGAAGTCGTTACTATTGTTTAGCACGTCGGAAAGACTTCAATTTCACTGGTGAATCTATTTTAGAAAAAATACCAAGTGAATGTGGAATTCCGGAAAATGGATTCAATGAAACTGTGATCAGCGACTTGATTGAACCGGAAGGTCTAATAACTAAGGACTATTACGTGCCAGAAAAAATATTAACCAAGCGTGTGTGGTTAATGGATATAGTTACTGCAGAATCAAAAAAGACAATGTGTTTCACTAAAGCGTATACCCATTATAGCGAAGGCACTGGCTCAATATATACACCTTTGTCTAAGAAAGATATGGATTTAGTATTTTATAAGCTAAAAGAGTTAGAAACGTCGGGTGGAAAGGAAGAACTTCGTATTGAACTACTGAAAAGTTTAAAATTGCGTTATTTCACTCCACGTGAAGTTGCAAGATTAATGAGCTTTCCAGATACGTTTGATTTTCCGACAGAAACAACGAATCGCCAGAAGTACCGTCTTTTAGGCAATAGTATAAACGTGTATGTTGTTAGTATATTAATAAAAATTCTATGCTCCTGAAAAGAATTTGGTTAATATTTATTTGGTAGTGTATTCAAAATAATTTCAATAAAATAAGTAATAAATACAGTACAAACATATGTATAAGGTCATCTATTTATTAATACACTTGAATACATTTTCCGATTATTATTTGAAAAACTTGCTTTCTAAAGTATAATTTATAGTCGGATAAAATTTTCATGGTAATTGAATGCATTCGTTAACAAGTTTGATAAAATATGAGTGGAATGCCCAATTCTTATAATGAATGACCAACTTAACACAATAAATTTTCTATAATTAATATTGGAAATATAGTATTTACATAAATAAGCATGTCTGCATTTCTACAACAAATAGTAATAAATGTACTACACCCATTTAACCGTCCTTTAATTCACTGCCCCACTCCTTTGCAATCATGTATATAGTGTTTTGGTTTAATTTTGGTCCAAGTAGTGGATTCATCTGAGCCATGTAACAGCATAGCCAGAAAAGCCAGCAAGTCGCTGCAGTTAACATCATAATGCAACGAAAGAGACTCTGATTGGGTCCTTTTGGTGTCATCATTGGTACTCCGATGCCAACACATGCCCAGAATGCGGTGAAAAATAATACAGGAAAAAAAGCTGCTCCCATATTTTTGTTTAATTTATATTTCAACTACTATTTAATTCACAAAAGAAAAACTTGTTCGCGTCCGACGAGAAAAATCAATACACAAAAAAAATTACAGACGACAGATGACGATGTCAAAAGAACAAAAAAAACCAAAACTGTGCTGCCATGTTCATAACAGCAAGCATGAGCGACAGATGGTGCTGTGCTCCCTTTTTTTCTTATATAAATTAGAGAATGTAAATAATTTGCAATCTCTAATTTAAATTGTGAATTGGAGATCTTTTGTATAAATATTTGAAATAAAAATATAAATAATATTGTTGTTGTTGTTGTAGGAAGTTGAAATACAAACAATCAATTTATATATTTTAAATTATACCTTGTTAATTTAAAGGAAATTATGAAGGAAAAATTTTACAGAATTTCATATAAATTAACATATAATGATAACATTTTGCAAATTTGAAAATTTAAAACATTTTGTAAATTATTGCGTTATATTAAAACAACAAATTACAAATTATTTCATAATAATTTAAAACCTTGAAATGAATATTCTTTATTTTGTATGACAGTATTCCACTGTGCAAAAAAGCGGGCTTAGTGCGACCCTGTCTTAAGGCGTGGTTTAAAGAAAAATCTGTCAAGTCTATTTGTCACTATTTAGTCAATTGTGTTTATAGTCTATTTGTTGTGATTTTGTCAAAAATATTTTAATTTCAGCATCATCCTAAAGAAATCCTACACCACATATAGCGAAAATGGAAACATGGAAGCTTTTAATTATTACCGTTGTAGCCATTTATTATATTGGACAAGGTAAGTCAGACCAAAAGCTCTTGCCAAGAACAATGTCAACGTATTCTCACACTAATATCTACTTTCAGTAAACTTCGTCAACGGTTTGGAGTGTTATGTTTGTTCCAATCAGACAGGTAACACAGAGAAATGTTTGAATACGATAAAAACATGTGAACCAGGTGAGGATGCTTGCGGTACTGAGATCCGTTGGGGCAGCCAACCGTACTTCTCTCAAGGTGCACTAAAACAATACTATGTTTCCAAACGGTGTATGACAAAGCAACAATGTCAACAGCGACGTAAACGCTATATGCAATACTGCACACATATTTGGTATGAGGACTGGTGGTGCTATGAGTGCTGTGTTGGTGATCGTTGTAATTATTTTGTGATTGTAAGTTTAAATAGTTTAAAATCGTATGCATTTGATATTTCAAATGATATTTGTCCATTTGCAGAGTGCGTCAACAAAACAAAAAATAACTGCCACCACTTTAATCAGCGGCTTATTCTTAATTTCGCTCTACAGCGTGTATTCATTGTTGCATTGAAGAATCTGTTGAAGATATACTAAGAACATCGAAGTGCCTCGAAGTTTTTACTTCTGCAAAGTAAAAATTCGTAATAAACGCAAGATAAATAAGCATACACCACCTTTAGGAGAAAGTACATAGAATACTTTTATTTAATTAAATTCATACGAAAAATCTCAGCATTATTGTGTTCGAATATTATCCGTCCAACTTTTACACTAAGCTAAATGTTACAATTTGTTATATTACGATATTGCTTTGGAAAGGCAACAACATAAACTCTTTTATAATTTTTACTTTATTAACATTGTAATGTATTCATATTTAGTTTGTTAGCTGCATAGTTAAAGCCACAAGCGTATGCAGTATTTATTCCAGAAAAATTTTAAAATATTTATACATAAGTATAAGGCAACATACAAAATTATGCTCAAATTTGAGCCTGCACAATTTTTTACACATCAATAAACTCTTGTAAAGTTATATATCTGTCTCGAAAATTGGAAAAAAATAGCTTCTTAAGGTCGTTAATGCATTTTTTCTAATAATTAAGTCTAACGTTATACGTAGTATGCTTTTCCACAATATGTATCATCTCTCGTGATTCTCTACCACCGACAGCTACCGTTACAAAGTTTTTATAGCTACACAAAGCTCTGTATCTTATTTGCATATCACTCAATCTGATTTGTCGTTAGCCATTATAAGTGGGGCTCGGCTGACACGTACTGTTTGTACATCTTCTTTTCCTAGCATTTTTATTTTTTTTACAAATATTTTTCAAATGACTAGAGCACTACTAAGTCGAACTTTGTAACAACCTTTGGAGATTTCTACAACAATTGGCAAGTGTTTGTGAAAAATAAGGGTTTACTGACATATATAATATACATACTTATATATTTATATGCTGCTCTTGACGTTGACATGTAAAGAAGAAGCAACGCGATAATCAGACTGACCGCCAAATTGTTTACTTTTGAAAAGAGAAATAAAAAATACAGTAAATGAAATTAAAACAAAAAAGTAATGCAAACAGTGGCTCTACAATAAATTTTATACGTGGCTTTCTAAGCAGTTTGCTGGCGTAACGCACAGCAAGCGGTTATACTTATGGACACACTAGAGACGCAGGCATCAAGCAGCCGCCAACAACGGACGAACTTAGTTGGCATGAATGTGGACTACCAACGGTAAGTGGCGACAATATTGTAAAAAATATAAAATACTAAATGATTTTCAATTCATTATGTAGACATGAAAATAGCGAATCGAGCAGCGTCAAGAAACGCAAACCTTTGGCTGTTAGATGTGTGAACGTGCTAGCAAATGGATTCGTAAACGCTTTTTACGGATTTCTCAATTCGCGATTGCTAATGTAATAATCGGCAAGTAGCAGCAGCTATGAATACGTAAAGCTACCGCTACAATAACAACAAAAATGCATAGAGCTGCTATGCGTTGATGTATTTACCTGTTTTATTTGTTTATGCAAACATTTAAATACATGTGTATGGATCAAATATATATTCATAAAATTATGTAGAAATTTTAATATAAACTATACTCATTTTACCACAAACAGTTGCTTAATTGTTAGATTTCTTTGAGTTATTAAAGTAGAATTTTTTTTATTCATTAATATATATGTACGTTTATCGGACTAATATGTTTGGAAATTGTAGAATAATAGCCTTGGATAATAATCTATGCCAATTTCGTGGGGATATCTTGCGAAATAAAAAATGTTTCCATACAATAACTTGATTTTGATCGTTTAGTTTGTATATCAGAACAATTGGATTGGTCAGCTTGTTAGAATGAGCAGCTTTTTGGTGAGAAAAGGAGAAAATTTCAGATCGATATCTCTAAAAAATTTTGGCAAACTTAATATAAAGAGGGTATACCTACAAATACAAAATAAAAGTTAAATAGTGTGACATTTCCAGTATTTATTTAATTTTCATCATTAATACAATTGTAAGTATGTATGTTGTATGTTCTAAATTATATACGAAATTAAACATATTCAAGTAAATTCAATCAATTATTAAATGCATATAAGACATAGCACTGAGTATAGTATCTGTATTATTATTTTCCTTTCTTCACCGTAATTATTATAAATACAAATAGTAAAAAGGAATTTTAATTGGTTTTCGATTATCATTTCATTCATTTATTGATAGCTTTATATTAATTTTTATACTTTGAACAAAAATGCAATATTATATCCAAAGTTTACTGCGCGCCATACCAGTGTTTCAATTTCTAACAAACACACACAATTAATTGTCTAATTAAACAAAAACTTATTCATAGAACCTTTGATTATTTTTACAATCTCCGATTACAATAAAGTTAATCTTCAAATTGACAATTCGTAATATAATAAGGAAAGTAATTTCATAGCAAATACATACATACATACAATGAAAATAAATCAAGCGCTTATTTTCCAGTAGCTTAGTTTATCTTTTTTTATATTAAAATTAATACAAAAAAGTATATATAATCACAATTGCATTTTTATGTATTTTTTCATTAATGAAGAATTAAATAAAATAGATTGCTATTTTTTTGTTTTGTTTGTAAAATAAAAATAAAACATCTTTCTAAAGTATAATTAATACGAGTAAAAAGCAACAAAACAGCAACATTATTATTAAAAATTTCATACATATTTCTAATTGTTGTTGTATACGAGATTGATTGTTTGATTTAAATTGGTTTGATTGGTATTAAACTTCAGCACTGTCATCGGTATGTAACTGCTTGTGTATGTGCCAGCAGAACGTGTATGCTTGTGTATGTGTGTATCTGAGTGTGTAGGATTTAGCCTATAGCCTAATAACATGCTTTACAGCTCATCCTTATGCAGTAATGTATAACGGTTTTTCGATGGCCCCAACTTCTTAAAACTCGATTCGGGCGGTGAAGTGCCTTTGCCAATTTTCATTACAACCTCGGTTTGCACTTCATTGCCAGATGGATCAGGACCATAATGGAACTCTCTGTATATAAAAAAAAATTGAATAACAAATAAATAGATTACAAATTTGTATAGAAGTGTTTTGACACCAACCTGTGCAATTTGCCACTATATAAATCTTGCAAAAACTGCTTTAGTTTACCAGGCTGATACATATCTTCGAACTTTGGGAACATGTACATGTGACGGAATGAATCGATGGCAATCAATGGCAAGTCATCCTCCGATTTGCCCAAATGATGTAGGGGATGTGCAAACCGTTGGCCATCGGCGGTAAGGAAATTGATATTCTCTGCAAATAGTAAATTTTTATTTTTATTGCTCATTACATACATGTATATTAGGTTTCTTACGTTTTTCATCCAATAATTGTGTTTCGATAATTGCCTTGTAGTCTTTAATTGCTTCGGTATCGTCGGGTTTGTGGAAGAGTATCAAAAATGGCAAGCCCTCTTCGGTCAACTCTTCTGCGTTTTCGAATGTAATTTCACGCACCAATGGCACACATTTTTCTTGCACCCAAATCTTCAGCTCATCAAAGTTTTTCAAGCTGCCGGTATAGGTTTCGTCGTTTTCATGTGAGAGCGCAACATCGGGACGGAACACAATAATCGGGTTGCCTGGTAACAAATTGACATGGAAATTAAATATCAAATAAATCACTTATATAAATAGGTATTTAAGCAAGCCAGCACATATAACCAGCACCAAAATTATTCAGTCTGTTGGGAAAATAAAAGTTAAATATTAAGCAGAAATATTTTGTACTTTTCGGTATGTAAATGTGTATGCAAAAAGTATTAGTAATGGAACGTAGTAGGTTCTTAAAATATAAAAATTTGACCCAAAACCATTTGGAAATAAAAAATAAAATTAAATAAGAGCGCTGAAAAATGCTGTTATATACAAAACAAAAATTATAAATAAAAGAAAAAAACAAGATTTACCTAATGTAAAATTGAAAATCGCATTACCTCGCTTTATATCGCTGTCAGCGTCCACAGCTTATAAAAATTTTGAGAAAAGTTAAAAGTTGTTATTGTTACATTAATATATGCAGGTTAATAATATAGTTTATGCATTAAGGCAATAATATATATTTTGAAACAATAGCCGTTCAGTTTTTTTCTTTTTTTAATTAAGACGAATAGCCAATCAGTACAAGTACAATGCATGCATTTAAGAAAAAGTATTAATTAGTTAATTTATATTTACTAACAAATTAGAATGTTGTAAAATAAAAAATAAAAAAATTGTAAAAAAAACCTACAATAATGAAATTCCTTAGTACTCACCGGGTGGATGCATAGCCTGGGCTGCATCACCAAAACCGACATGGAATTGACAATCCTCCTTCAAATTTGTAGCAGCCTTACGGAAAGTATCATACTCCGGCTGATCGCGACGATCGAAATAACCGATAATTATTCGTTTCCGTGAATCAAGATTTTCCAAATCTTTCAATGACTTGAACTCCTTGATGGGATCCTCAAGCTGTTTGCGTACAAATTCCAAAAACGCCTCCGCAGAGCGTTGCCCACGATATTCACGCTTGCTCAGCTGTCCATTGCGTATCACCTTAAGTGTTGGGTATTTGGTTATATGGAAACGAGATGCAATCGAAGTTTCGCGATCGCAATCAACTCTTCCGAGTACTACTTTGCCTGCTTCAGGAAAAGCCTCTTTGACCTAAAATTCGTGAAAATTAATATTATAAAATAATACTTGTGTTTGTTTATTTTTACCTTATCGGCAGCTTCATTGAATATTGGCGCGAGGAGATTACTAAATCGACACCACTCGGCGTAGAAGTTGAGAAAAACCAATTCATTGGAAGCTGTTAACAAGCAGAAATTATGTTTAATTAAGCAAGTCCTATGAAATGTTAGTCACATACATACATGTGAATTAGTTTAAATATATGTACGTACGTACGTGTGTAAATATAAATCTGGCTACACCTTGGCAGAAAATATACGCATAGATAATTATGTTGTGAATGGACGAGGAAAGAGAAAGTTATTTATGTAAATTTATGAAAAACAAAAAACAATGGAAACGCTTAAAAAATTGTACAAATAAGATGTTAATAAATTGATGCATTTTTAGTTAATCTACTTATTCCATATTTATACTGTATGACAATAGCATACTAAGAATAGTAATTGCCTATATATGTATTTCAAAACAAAGTTAACAGCTGTTTCAACTGCAGGTACAAAAGTATAGTACAATGATCTTCACAATAAATGGCAATTTAATTTTTTCTTTCGATTACTCAGAATAATTCCAATTATATTGTTTGTTATTATTCAAGTATATGTGTATAAAAAAACACATGTTTTTTTGCAAATATCTTAATGATGTACATAATTACTAATTTATCCCTCTAAAAATATATATATTGCAATAGTAGACTATTGGGAAAAAAATAAACTATTACCTGAAATGTGGTATTTTGAGTACGCATGTACATATGTATCGAAGTCTTTTATAATTTGACATACATAAATATCTGCCCAAAGAGTAACTATGTATATATTTCGATAACGACAAAGCAAAATTGTAATGGTAAATTTTGTTTTCAGTTGAACGAAAGCAGTGGGAATAGTTTGCTTTTTTCATTTGTACCTCCATACGCACACTTTTACATAGCAAATTGTTAACTAATTAAAAAACAATTATAGCGATAACGATGTGACGCATCCAGTTTTATACAGTTCGAATAAATTTTCTAAACTTGCGCTGAAAGTCATTATATTAAAATAAAAATTTAGGAATTTTAACATTAGTACTAACCACAGGATATCACTATAGTACCGCGTTACTTAATATATTAAGAAACAAAAGCAATCAACGATATTCGATACGCCTATTTTTTTATCTAAGTATATTGAGCACAATTATACGTTAGTACAAGTCATATGTTAATGTACGCATTTTGAAAAGCAAAGCTTTACGCCTATTTTATTTAACAAAAATGGGCATTTATTAGACTTGATCATTATTAAATTTAATTTTATGATCTACAGTGTACCGAATCAATTTTACCCCACATATGTAAATACTTATTAATGACAAATTGAAAATTGCAACAAGAATACCAAACGAAATAATTTAATTAATGCTACCAAAAAATTGGTTTTGCCTTTTGGCCTGAACACTCACACCAATTCTGGTATTGACACGTCAAGAGGAATAAAACGAGCGGCGGTGCGATAAGTGTGTTGATCTTCCTTTTCTTTACCTAAAATTCCCCAAATATGTTTATGCATAATTTTTACTTACCTAAAGTCATATCAATATTTTCACTATTCATATCCACTGCTCCAGAATCGGTAGGATTATAAAATACGTAAATTACCTAAGTAATACAGGTTTACATTAATGTTATGAATGAATAAGGAAAACTTTCCAGAAACCAAAAAAAATTGATGCGACAACAAATCGGCTTAATAGTAATTAGTTAACATATTGGTTACTATTACTTACCATAAATATTGCTAAGAAGCGACATTTTCTACTGCTCCAAAACTGCATATTGCTAAAGTTCTTTATTAAATAAATATAAATAATTTAAGAAGATTTTGAGAAAGGTTTTCAGATGTTCGTGAAAAAAATCACTAGCACACTACATTCGTTTGTGTCTCTTTAGTAATTTCTTCTTTCCTTCTTATTGCCTTTGCGATGATATCCGTCAACTGCTGGCAGCAATACAATGATGCCTACTCTAACACACATTGCGACATCAACCTTATGCTAATCTCCAAATTAATTATATATACATATATTCTTATTGATGATTGATAGATCGCGAGAAAATGCTACACGTTCAATAAGTATCACGTCAGTATTTATTCGAAAAAAATCGAGTTTATGAAACAAATATGTTAAAAGATAGTTTCTCTTATTATTTTTACAAAATGTCGAAAGAAAACTGAATAAAAGTACCATAGAAATATAGAATAAAAAAAATCAAAGAAAGGTTTTGAACATAAAAATTCTAGCAACCATTGTTAATAATTCCCCGGATCTTTAAAATTACTTATTTCAAAACTAATTTTTGTATAAAGATAAACAAATAACACAATTTTAAGAAAATTTGCATGCTTTTAAATTATTTTGAATATTGTGTTCCGTCGCGCGATCAATATTGAACGTTTAACGCACATCAAAATATTTAAATATTATGTGATATGAATCGCAATAGATCAATATTCCATACTATACTTTCAATAACCTATAGTATAAAAGTCAAGTAATGTTCTTTTAAGCGATATTTGTTTTTTTCTAAATATTTTAATGTATTTGGAGCATATCATTATATATTAATTGCTAGTGTGCTAACCATAAATCTTAATAAAACTCTGGCATCCCATAATAATACCATTTATACATCAACTTAAAGTTGGCTGCAATTAAAAGTTCTAATACGAAAAATGTAATCCGTGTGAATCTAGTGCGCCAAGAGAATTATATTATCTCTTCCTTATTAATATTAGTTGTAATAAACGAGTTATATGCGAACACAAATATTGATTGTGCAATAGATTAGTAAATCTACTGATAATGTTTGTAATTAAACAAGTGAATGATCAATTATTCCATGTAACAACGAAATTGGAAAGAAAAACTTGCATTTAGTGACAAAGAAAAAAGCGGAAGATAGAAACAAAGGTGGAATAAAAGTGCAAAGGGTAAACAGATGAATGAAATGAATAGCAAATAAAATGAACCATACAAAGGCCGAATCAAGACGCATAAAATATAGCAGTGGACGAAGAAAAATCAAATAAAAATAAATTGTCGATTTTTTTTATTCATTCGCAGTATCTGTATTAATTTTTTAGAATACACAGTGTTATATTATTGTGCCCACGTAAAATAATAAGATATTGACACAAGTAAAAAAGAATCAAATAATTCCATGTGATTCGTTCAATCCTTAGTGCAGTTGCATAAAATAACAAGCTGTAACGCGCTGACGTCAATATTGAAACGAAATAAAAAACTGACCGTAATAGAAGTTTTTGACCGAATTGTTGGAAATTAATATTGGGTAAGCTAGCGGTAATGTTTTCATATCATATTATTTTTACAAATGGTGTATCGAAGTGTATTTATTATTTTTAATTAATTTACAATAACTTTTAAAACTAATTCTTGTAAGGCTTTATTGGACTTTGGACTTACAATGCCGGCTTAGGCTTTTACTGCTTCATAACATAGCCATTGCCGTTAGCGGAGGTGGCCTTTCAAAGCGTTATTCCAATAAGTATTACAGTTTGTTTGCAAAGTGCATAATTCCCGTTAGAATATGTAACCGCAAATGTTTCAAAACATACATAAACCAAAAACAGTGCCTTATAGTATACATATTTGTTGTTATATATTTGTATGTGATCAACTGTATTAGATAAGAATTGCAAATTTTCAAAGTGCTATAATTAATACTTAATACTACGTTAAGTTTTCCTGAAGATAGGGTAATAATTTGTGAATAAAGCTGCTGAAAAAATTATTCAATGTAATGGGTTTCAAACTTAATTAATTTGATCACACGTGAACATGCCTATATTAAATAATATAAATTATAAGTTTGAATTCAATTTTAATATCTTTTGAATTTTTTCTGCACACAAAATTTGTTTGTTACTATGTATAAATGCATATGTATTATATATTCATATTCAGTCTCATTGCCTTCCATGCTTATTATTTAAATTGTATATGGTCATACAAATGCAAATTTGCAAAATTCTCTCAACATCATCGTACATTTGCTATCTACTATTCACGAAATTTGCAAAGTCATATTTTACTAATTCGCTTTCGCTTTTTTCTCCGATATCCGCTTTTGTATGGTGTTTTTATACTTTTCTTTGCCTATATCTATATAGTATATAGAACATACATATATACATACATATTTGTATAAAATATATTATATGACACACAAACAATAATTTCTGTAAGTGGATGCATTTGTTTATATTTTCCTTTGTTGCGAAAATTGTTTGCAAAGGAGAAATGTTAAATTTGTTTATACGAAATAAAATTGCGCTTTTAATTTTTACATTAATATACCTAATTACCTTGCACAGCATAAAGTTTTTATTTCCTTTTTTCTCTATTATTTCTCAGAACTGACTTAATTGTTTAAATGCCAATTTATGGGTACGAAGAAAGCAATGTCAACAAAGAATTCGCAAATTGACACTGCTTAAGCGTAAACATATTTTGTAAGTGCTTATAATATTACCCGTTTATACATATTAATGAACTTAACTATGTAGTGTATACATATGTGAGTTCGCAAAGTACCAGTGCACGCTCATATACGTTTCCTGTTATTCGATTATTAAAATGAATATAAAGGTTTTTATTTAAATACATTTTTACCTTTTGCCTTGCCACAAAGTTGGTACCAGCCTGAAGGAAACGTCGGAGACACTGTACAAGTATATATGTATAAATGATCAGCATGACGAGCTGAGGCGATTTAGTAATTTCTGTCTGTTTGTTCGCTTGCTTGCATGTACATATACACGCGAATTAGTCCATCGATTTTGGGATATCGATATTTTGCAAACGTCCTTTTCTCCTCAAGAAGCTGTTCGTTTGTCGAAACCGCCGATATCGGACTACTATAATATATAGCTGCCATACAAATGAACGATCAAAATCATCTTCTTGTATAGAACATTTTTTTATTTGACAAGATAATTTCAAGAAATTTGATAAAAATGTTTGTCCAAGGCAACACTGCAATCTCCCAACAAATTGTGCAGATCGCATCTCTATATCATATAGCTGCCATACAAACTGACCGATCAAAATCAAGATAAAGTTCATCATAAAATATCTTTTTTTCTCATGAAGTAATTTTTATTCGACTTAAAGGTTATTTCTATCAAACAAAGGACCAGAAGAAACTGGCAAAACGTTTCTCAGCGGTTACGTTTTCATATATGTAGTTGCTAAAAGAAATGCACCTGTGGAAGATATTACAGGCTCGGGGCAGCCGAGGCTAACTTTTTTTTTTATTGTTTCTTTAAAAATTTGCTTTGTTATTGTTTAAGAAAGTATTTCCTTTTAAATTCGATTGTATCGATTGTTTCGTTTTTAATATTATGTGTGTACTACACTTTTATCCAACGTTGCATCAAAATTTTTATTAGGTCGTTGAACTCAAATCGCGTCCTTGTGTGTGAAGGCGAATAATGAAACGAGAATTCTCTAAAAATTAATAAATATTTTTTTAAAGTTTATGTCATAAAAGTATAAAAAACAAGTAAGGAAGGGCTAAGTTCGGGTGCAATCGAACATTTTATACTCTTGCAACTTGCAAAGATCAAAGTCGGCGAACTGCTTATACGTGTTGGAAAAATATTATATTAAAACAAGTAAGGACCTTTCCTTTCTAAGTTCGGGTGTAACAAAGGCGGAGGCACATCTACAGGTTTTGGCAAAACTTTATATGAAACTAAGAAAAGTATCGCTATGATTTCATCTATTTAAGGAAAGAGGATATACTGTTATTAGAAAGAGATTCTGAATTTCATATAGATTTCTTACGCATTGACCGATAGGTGCGGACTTTCGAAAATATTTATGTTGGGTATATGGGCGCTAAGGGAAGTGTTGAGCTGCTTTTACCCATTTTTGGCACAAGTTATAGTGCGATTTCGACTATTTAGGACGCAAGACGAAATGCCTTGAAGCATATTTGTGCAAAGTTTTAGTGAAAGAAAATAATTAAAAAGTTTGTTATATGCGAATCAGGCATCTTTGCCGATTTCGCCCTTTTTTCCAGTGTCTAATAGGAAATTTATTGCTTGTGGCTCATTTACTCAGTGAGTTAGTGCACTTTTAGTAATTTTCAACATACCCGTATTTGGGGAGTAGGCGTGGTTATTATCCGATTTTTCACTGAATTTGAAGAGGTGATAAAATGACATCTTAGGTTTATGTTGCAAGAGTAAGGCAACTTTTTTCTATACGTGTAACCAAATAACTCAGTAAATAGCCACTGCTGCTCTCTTTGAGAAGAAAACACATAAAGATAATTATAAATACTAAAACCTTCCGAATATCACTATATATATTATATATCACACAATATATATTGTGACAGGTAAACGAAAGTGCTTATGACAACGACGATGGCTTTTAATCAATTTGTACTTTGCTGGTACATACCATCTGAACATTGAGATAACATATTTTTTGTTTTGTATACGAAAGAACAAATTAAAACATAGCAAAAACTTATCAGCATTATCATATTTGTATAAAGTTAAAGACAAAGCATACCAATAGAAATCGTCAGTGTACCATATAACTCGTTACAGATAACACATTTTAACTTGAGACATTATGCGTTGGTTTCGCCATATTCGCATGCCGTATTTAATAGATTAGTATGTACTATACGTACTATATACACAATGTTTATTTACATTATCTACATTCGCTTTTCGGATTCTACCTAACATTAATCAATAAGCATACTTATATAGCTGTTGTTGTTGTTGTTGTTGTTGTTGTAGCGGCAGACAGCATTTCTGAAGTAATTTCGAGGTAAGGTGCTGAGTTAACAGTCCTAGACCGGATAAAAATCCGGATCTGTTCTGGTTACTTAGACCCGATTGTCGTGGGAACGGACTAATACATATATTGTTGTCATTGTTGTTGTAGCGGCAGAATTCTGCTGACGTAGATCCGACTGTCGTGGGAATGGTACATATATAATATTTTGATTTGGTCAATCTCTATTGTCTTTTTAGACATAAACTTCCGATTTTTAATAGAATACATGAGTGGGGATAACAGTTTCATTAAGTTATTACTGCCATATGAAGGCAGATTAACTATACAATATGTATAATTGCATTTTTCATAGAGAATTTCTTTTAGTATATCAATACAATTTTATGGCCTGTACCTACGCTACTGCGCCTAAAACTATGCTACAAATATTTCTATATCAATGGTCTACGATTTTTCGTGAGAACTCGCACTGGAATCTCATTGTATATTAGGTTTGATTTCTAAATTTAAAATAATTTTAACACCCAGATTAGAGATTTCCCAGTACTAAAAGCAACATTTTAACGTTGATTTTACCTATTCAAATTTGATCCGGACTGGTCCATTTAAACAGCGCGCGCAAACCGAATCGATAAAAAAAATTCCTAAATTGGCAATACCTTTCTTATGTTTATGTGAGGTTTGATCTCCATATGTCAATTACTGTGTATTTCACAGCTGTTTGTTTACGACGCGACAGGTTTGTCTGGCGATTTTTACCATGAGAAAAAAACGAACAACGAGATAGACTCAACACATTTTTCGAAAAAACCAAAATACACTGTTGTTGTTGTAGGGCCAACAATAAAAATCCGGGTCCGTTCCGGTTACATAGACCCGACTGTTGTGAAAACGGCCAAAATACGCTTAAAGCACTGAAGCCCTTCTCAGCCGAGACTTACCATACATACAATATGTATGTACAAAAAGTGTATGGAAAATTGGATTAAGCGTTATACGCTTCTATTGGCTGAGGAACCTATTTTGAAGGCCATAATAAAGATTTGTTTTAAAATTTGTGAAATTTTGTCAAATTTGTTTTGTAAAATTTGATTAGATTGTATATTTTTCCCAATTGTCTACGAAAGTGCTATGTGAAATATGAATCCAGAAAAATTTTTAGGATATGCCATGGTTATATCAGCGAACACAAATTGCATTCCACGTACTTTGACTATAATGGTGTTATATCATGATCAGCATTGAATTTTGAAACTACAATTGAAATGTTTCAAGGTTTCGGGTATAAAACAATTATATAGTAATTTTATAATTTTTAATTTACGCTACTCATAGAATATTACAATGTAAAACGAATAAACTATATTTCAAACAAGTAAGGAAGGGCTAAGTTCGGATGTAACCGAACATTTTATGCTCTCGCAAAGTCAAATGGTATACTCGTTTGAGATTTCTTTGTGGATTGACTGTTATTTTCGGTAGAAGGTCAACTATAGGCACTGGGGT